AGTGAGACTGCAACCTAAAACAAGAACAACAACAAGAAAAAAAAAAGTGCTAAAAATAATACACTTATACTATCTTCTATATTTAGCTTTTTGTTTTATGTTTACCTGTGCAGTTATTTTTACCAGTGTTCTTTATTTCTTCATGGGGATTTGGGCTATTGGATAGTGTCCTCTCTTTTCGGCCAGAAGGATTGTCAGTATTTGTTTAGTCACATCCTAAATTCTCCTTCATGTTTTGAAGGATAGTTTTGTTAGACATCGAATTCTTGGCTCACAGTCTTTTAATGTCAGGACCTTGAATATGTTGTCCTGCTGCCATCCGGCCCACATTGTTTCTCATGAGAAATCAGATACTAACCTTTTTGAGGATCTCTTGGTACATGGCATATGCCTTCTCTATTGATGCTTGAAAGATTTTCTCTTTGTCTTTAGTTACCACGTGTCTAGGTTTGGATCTCTGTACGGTTTTGCTATTGGGAGTTGTGGTGCTTGTTAAATATGTAGCTGGTGTATCATATCTGTAAAGTTTTCAGTCATTAATCTTCATGTGTCCTTTCTGTTCTTCTCTTTCCTTTCCCGGGATTCCCGTTATGTCTCTGTGGGTACATTGGTTCAGTGGGGTGATCTCTAGACCCTGTTCATTTTGTTGTTGTTCTTTTTCTTTCTGTTACTCAGGATAACATCAAATTGACTCATTTTCAAGTTTGTTAATTCTTTTTTGTCCCAACTCAAATCTGCTGTTGAACCCTCCTACCTCCGGTGAATTTTATTTCAGTTATTGTACTTATCATCTCTAGAATTTCTATATAGTTCTTTTTTATCTTTTCTGTCTCTCCATTGTTATTCTCTATATGGTGAGACATTGTTCTAATGCTTTTCTTTAGTGCTTTGTAGCTTCCTTTAGATATTTCAGCATATTTATACTTGATTTTAAGTCTTCATTGAGTTAGGGCAGTGTCTGGGCTTCCTTAAGGATAGTTTCTACTGACTGGTTTTTATTTCTTGTTATGGGCTGTATTTTCTTGTTTCTTTACACGTTTATAGTTTTTTTGTTGAAGCTGAACTTTTGGTTGTTTTTGAGTCAGGGTCTCACTCTGTCACTTAGACTGGACAGATAGATCATATACCATGATCATGCTCACTGTAGCCTCAACCTCCTGGACTCAGGCGATCCTTCTGCCTTAGCCTCCTGAGTAGCTGGGACTGCATGTGCATGCCACTATGCCTGGCTAATTTTTTATTTTGTTTTTTTAGAGACGAGGTCTCTCTGTGCTGCCCAGGCTGGTCTCAAATTCCTGGGCTCAAGCAATCCTCCTGCCTCCGCTTCCCAAAGTGGTAGGATTACAGGCATGAGCCACTGTGCCTGGCCTTAAGATAATATATTGTTACAACTCTAGAATCAGCTTATTTCCCCTTCTCAGATTTGTTGTTGCTGTCCACTGTTTTTGTTGCTCATTTTTTTGTTGAATGACTTTTTTGATTTAAGTTTTAAAAGTTTCACTCTTTGTGGCACTGAATTCTCTACTTGGTTGAACTGAGTAGTCAGCTGACGTTTGAATAGAGATTTTCCTAGGTGCCTCGAAGCAGCATGACTCCCAGTCTTTGCTGACCGGCTGTCAGCATTTTGGGGGCATGCTTTCAGTGCTCTGGAAGGTAGCTTATACAAACCCTGTCTTCTTTTTTACTTCTTACTTGTTCTGAGCCTCAAGGTCAGCCAGAGACATTAATGCCTTCTGGACTCTTTTCTAGACATGGCACACGCAGAGCCTTGCAAATATGCATAACCTTCTAGATTCCCAGCAATGTGTCAGGGATTTCAGAGTTTCCTGTGCACATCTCATTCTCTGACTTTTCCTTTAAAATGTTTGAGTCGGCTCCTTTGCCCCAGTTGTTATTGCTGTCTCGGGCATCTGCCATGTTAAACAGTTGTCTCTGATTAGTTTTGATCGTGACCTCAGGGAAAAGGACCCTTACACACTGAGAAAGCTCTAAGTCGGGTCAAATAAAGACAAACCCTGGGAATGGGTTTATAGGGATGTGCCAGGCAGGTGAAAAAAGAGCTCTTTCGGAATTGGGCTTTTTGGGGTGCTCCAGAGCTTCAGCTCTTTCCAGTTGCTGCCAGGCTGATGGTTTTCAAACTTAGCATGATTGCGAGACTATTGGTTTCACTGCTCAGTTGGTGGTTGATACACAGCACAGCAAAATGATGGAAAGCTTGCTGTTTAAGACTTAGCCATTTTTCTTGAAGAAATGCTCCTCAGATTGTTGTAAACCTTTGTTCCATTGTCAGAATTTTTAAAAACTTGATTTTGACAATTTTTTGCCAGTGTTCTCTTTGCTTCTTTGGAGCAGCAGATTTTTTCAGGGGTCCTTAGTCTGCCATTTTGAAGGGTTCCTTCCCATTTGCTTTTATGATTGCCATATTTTCTCATATCTCTTTGGAAGCACTAATGATATACTTAAAATTTTTTTCTCTTCAAAATCTCTTCTGTTCTCTAAGTTGGAACTTTTGAGCATGTGTTTTTTTATATGCTGATCTCTCTTTTTCACGTTAGAAGCTCTGAGTGTATAGGTGGAGCTTACTGACTATGAAGTTGCTATGAATTAACTGAATGTTTGCTTCTAGGAAATTATTTAAAATTTTTCTAGGAAGGAATTAATTTAACCTAAATCTCATAATAAAATAAATTTCAGAAAAAGTTGGAGAAAATGTAGTGGTTATTAGTCAAACCAGTAATTTATTTTAAATTGAGATCTAGAAGTTTAAAAAAAAAAAAGTGGTGGCATCAGAGGATAATCATTGCTCATATATTTAATGACTTTGAATGTAGAAAATTCATCCTTTTAGGTTTGTGAAAATTGATAGTTCCCAAGACAAGCATTTTGTATTCATTCACAATTAGCAGACAAAAGCCAGTGATTCCATTTGTAAGGAATGCTTTGTTGGTGTTAGACAGTCTCTTGAGGTAGTAACTTTGATAGGAACTGTTTTAGCAGCATTTTGAGCAGAGAATGAGAGAGCTAGTCAGACAGGAGTGTGAAAGCCAAGGGAATTCTGAATTAAGTTACAGCTACCAATAATAGTGATCTTTACAGTGTTCTTGTAGCTAGTTGTTCAGGCCTGCCAGGTTGTGGGCAATGTGGCCTTTCCACTGAGATAGACTCTGTAGACTCTTACACAATTGCTATTTGTAAGTGAGGAGTGCTCTCCCAGGAGTGAAAGAAACACTTGTTCTCTTCTGGTGATTTCAGGAATAGCCAGACACGAGTTATACCTTGACTCTAACTTGCAAACTTGCTGGTTACATCAGAGGGTGTGACTGTTACACAATAAAGTGATGACTTAGTTAGGGCATGCCCTGGCAATCTGTGTGGTGATATTATTCATGGACTTGTCAAGCATTGAAGATCTTTGTTGCTTTTAAAAGTGAAGGTAATGGAAAATCATGAAAAATTGATTCTAAGGCATCTTTCCAGATCTTTAGTAACCACCGGATTCAAAAGTGAGTGATGGTTTTATTCATATCTGGTCTTGAAATAGCAGTTGGATTTTTATTCAGTGCCAGTATAATTGTTTGGTAGTGCCTGCCTGAAGTGGTCTTAAGAAGGATTCTGAGGGAGCATCTGGGCTTGGTGGAGAGATGGCTTGGAAGGATTATCAGTATTTCCCATGGAACGAGGAGAGGCAGTATATCAGGCTTGTTCATCCCCTTCATCTGCTTATGTGCATTCCTGACTTCCCTGTTGCTTCGAATGTAACCTCTGGAGGGTAGGAACTTTGCACATTCAGTTACTCACTAGCTCGGTGCTAGGCATATAATGGGCACTCAATATTTGTTGAGTGGATGTATGAATACATGGATGAATTAACACCACAATGTGTACGAGATAGCTAAAATTTTCCAGAGTGAGGATGGGACTGGATTAGGTATTAACTGACTTAACACAGTGGCATGACTCTCCCAAGTGAATGTCTGCATGGCATAGTGCTTGGCACAGAAGATGAAAAGAGTATGGCTCCCATATCTACCCTCAAGAAGCTTCCATTCTGCTTGGGAAGAAGAGACACATGTGCTCAAAGTGACCAGAGCTTGTAGGACAGGATGGTGTGTTAGAAAGTGCTAGAATGTTCCCCAAATGGGTGACATAGCTTTGAATGCAAAAATACATTGCTTTGGCATCTTAACCTTTATGCTTATTCCAATGTATATGTGTTTTGCTTGGGAAAGCCTCTTTTTCTTAATTTTTTCTTCTAGGTAAGATTACGCACGCCTTTTCCTCTCATTTTTGGTGTCTCTGGGATGAGATATTTTGACTGGTTAAGGAATTTTGCTTTAATTATAATGCCAAGGTGAAAGGATCTGTTAATAGACAGTAAATGTAATGCAGATTTTTAAAAAGCTGGCTGGGTTTTTTAATGCAGTCTCATTTGTTTTCTAGATAAATTATTTATAGCATTTTTGAATTAAACTTAAGTCACATCAATATGCATAAACCTTTGTAGTGTAATGGTAGTGCCATTTGAAAAGCTTTGTCCTAAGAAATTGACAATCTGTGCTTAGAAAAAAATAGAAGAAACGCACTTTTCATAACGTCTACATTTTGTGTAGTCAATTTAATATAATGTCTGAGAGCAGCGGCTCTGGATTCCCACTTTCAAGACTGGAATCTTCAGCCCCCTACCTGTGTCACCTTAAGGTATAGGGTCTTGATTTCCTTGTTTGTACAATAAGGACAATAATAATCTTTCATAAAGATGTTAAGGAGATTAAATGAGATATTTTAGATAGGTATGTAGGCCTGTTCTTGACCCATATCAAGTGCTAAATTATTGTTGGTTATTGTTAATGCTGTTGATTTAGTTACTGTTTTTGTTGTTAGGTGGGTTTGCATCATTGATTGGGGGGGGCAGTAGGGCTCAACTTCACATTATTGTTTTAATATAATTGGCCATAAACAATGATGGCTAATAGTTTATATTTATTCTTGCTTTCATACAGGTTGAATGTAATTTTTACAAAATTTGATGAAGTCCAGAAATCCGGGAACATGATACAATCTGCAAATGGTGAGGAGAAAAAGCAATCTGTATTTCTGCTTTTTTGGTTTTATGTCCATAACACTTACGCTATTTGTGAACAGCTGAGTTAGATATTTTTGTAAGGGTTTCTAGAACTTAAAACCTAACCTCCATTCACCCATCTTTCAGGCCTGAAACTGTGGAGTGAGTTATCATTGACTTTTTTTCCCCATAACTTGTATTGAATCTATTAACTAATCCTGTCGGCTTGACTTTTAAAACTGCATCATAAGGCCAGGTACAGTAGCTCACACCTGGAATCTCAGCACTTTGGGAGGCCGAGGCAAGAGGATTGCTTGAGCCCAGGAGCTTTAGACCAGCCTAGGCAACATAGCGAGACCTCATCTCTAAAAAATTAAAAATAAAAAAAATTAGCTGGGCGTGGTAGCATGTTCCTGTAATCCCAGCTACTCAGGAGGCTGAGGTGGAAGGATTGCCTGAGTCTAGGAGGTCGAGGCTGCAGTGAGCTGTGATTGTGCTTCAGCATGGGTGACAGAGTGAGATTCTGACTCCAACAACAACAACAACAAAAACCCCAAAAACAAAAAAATGGAACCTTGATAACATAATTCTCATCATCACTACTTCTGTCTTCCTAGTGCAAGCTGTCATGGTATTTTACTGAGCTCTGTGGTACCCTCCTAGCCGGTATCTTTTCTTCCACTCTTCCTCACGCCCAAAGTCTGTTTTTCATATGACAACTAGAGTGATTCGTTTAGATTGTAGATCAGGTAATGTTCATTGTCTTTTTTAGATCCTCCAAAGGCTTCCCATCACACAGCATTCAGTGGCTCACCATGTCCTACCAGGCCGTGGCTGAAATGGCACCCACCACCATTCTGATGTCATTTCTATTGTTCTTTCTGAAAGTTCTCTGCTACTGCTGCCTTGGCCTCCACGCTAATTTTGAACCTTCTAAGCATCTCTTGCTTCAGGACCTCTTGCTTGTGCATCGTTCTGCCTGAAACATTTGTCTCCTGAATGCTATTATGGCCCTCTTCTCCCTGCGTGCCAATCTCACTTCATGCAGCATCTCTTCATTACCAAGGCCATCCAGAATAGCATGTCTAGTGTTCTAGGGGGCTCTCTCTGTGCCCTTGCTCTGCTTGATTCTTTTCTTCTTAGTGCTTGGATAACCACAAAATACATGTTTATTCATGAGGACAGGAACTTTGATTTATTTTATTTTCCTTTATTTTTTTCTCACTGAGCATAAGCACAGTGCCTCGAAGAGTCCCTAGTATTGTGCTAGGTATACGATAAATATTATTGAATAAAATAATGATTGTCATGTATATTATGACCTGTTGTTTCCACTGCCTGCATTCCTTTGTGTATACTCTGTGATTATATTTGAGGACAGGTGAGTAATTCTTGTGATTCCAGGGAGGAGGAAAAGAGGAATAAATTACTGTATGAAGGAAAAGTCATCAAAAAGTTAATTGCTGACAAAATTTTTTCTTTCTCCTCCTCCTCCTCCTTCTCCTCCTCCTCTCCCTCCCACTTTTTTTTTTTTTTTGAGTTGGACTCTCACTCTGTCGCCCAGACTGGAGTGCAGTTGGCCGCTCCCGGCCACTGCAGCTTCGACCTGCTGGGCTCCGGCGATCCTTCCGCCTCAGCCTTCCGAGTAACCGGAATTACAGGCATGCGCTTCCACGCCCGGCTGATTTTTTGATTAATTGTAGAGATGAGGTCTCGCTGCCCAGGCGGGTCTCGAACCCGCGGGCTCAGGCCATCCACTCACCTCAGCCTCCCAAAGGCGCGGGATTACAGGCTGAGCCACCAAGCCCGGCTGAAAGCAGGTTTTATTGAGAGGACAGAAAAGCTCCCACAGTGGGAGGTGACCCAAAGGGGTTGCCCCAACAAAATTTTTTCTAACTCTGGATACCTCATTGCATCATAGCTATTTCAGAATTTTTTAGGGATCATATAGCATAGCCTTTAAGTTTTGACTGTTTTGAGGTTGTGAAGAAAAGTTTGAGTGCTTTTCCCCAAAGTGACTTGATAGAAAAGAGCAGATTGGGTAACAGAATGTAGGTCTTTTTTACTTGCACTGTGCTGTGTGCTTGCCATATTTCATTATTATTCCAAAGGAATTTTTTTTGGTGCATCTTGTTTTCTTCTCTCTTTTTTTGAGTTGGAGTCTCACTCTGTCACCCAGGCTGAAGTGCAGTGGTACGCTCACAGCCACTGCAACCTTGACCTGCTGGGCTCAGGTGATTCTTCCACCTCAGCGTTCCAAGAAGCCCTGGAACTACAGGCGCACGCTACTATGCCCGACTTATTTTTTGATTTATTGTAGAGATGAGGTCTTGCCAAGTTGCCCAGGCTGGTCTCGAGCCCCTGACCTCAGGCAATCTTCCCACCTTGGCTTCCCAAAGTGTTGGGATTACAGGGTTGAGCCACCGCAACCAGCCATATCATATTTCCTGTGTAAAATCTTTAAAGAGATCTAAACATGCTTTTATTAATCCCTATTATTTTTTCCATATGATTGTCAAAACATAATGACAGAAAAAAAATTACCATAAATCAGTTATTATCAACAAAAATTATTTTTTACTTTTTCATTTTTGTAGTTCATTTTTCTGTAACTGTATAATTTGTATATAATTAGCCATGGTATAATTTTATTTATTTTACTCTATACTTTTGCATAAACTTTTATATGTACTATAAAAGATGCACCATTGATAGAGCTGGTACTCTGACATCTGAGTGGTATGCTAGTGACAAGTAGAACTTGGTAGAACCGGTACTCTGACATCTGCCAGAACTCTGTCATCTGAGTGGTACAGTAGTGGTAAGTGGAGTTGATAGGTAGGCAGTTAGTTGTTGGACACATGCTTTTTACTTTTGTGGACGTATTTGTGTAGTTTATGTGGTTTCTCAGTTAAAAAATTGTTGCCATTAAAGATAGAAAATGCTTGGCAAGAAAGTAGTTTTAGTGGCAGAAAAGTGAGTTTGTGTTTCATAAGCTGGTTTTATAGCTGTGAAGCAGAATCTCATAGCTGGCACGGGGGCAAAAGACTATATCCATGTGTGGCGGGGGCCATGCCTACAAGAGTATACATGTATTCAGTGGGTTCTGGTGAACGTGACAAGTAGGACTTAATCTTCTAGAATACCAAAATTGTGTGGCATTGGGCGTATAGCAGCAACATTTTATTCTAACGAGCTAGGTATCAGTATTGTCCCCAATTTCCTTTACTGTGTTTATGTCTGTATGTATTTGTGGGCATTAGGGGTAGGGTTGAGAATGAAAACAGTTGTTTTAGGCATCTATGTTAAAAATAGAAAATGGTAAGGAAGGCTTTACTCAACATTTCTTGGAAGCCTATGATTTCAACTCTTTGCTATATGTATGTAGCATTACCATTTTGATTGTTAGAGCCAAAAAAATCTGTTTAAAGGAAAACAAGGACTGTAAAGGCATATATATAAAATTTTAGTTTTCATCTCTTTACAGTAACTTTGAGAGACCAGTAAAACGTTCAGTAGCTGTCAAAAGACAAACCACCTCATTTCTTTTTGTTCTAGAGTCATTGCACATTTACATGGCATAAAGAAACTGCAGGCTGGGTGTAGTGGCCCAAGTCTGTAATCCCAGCACTTTGGGAGGTGCAGGTGAGAGAGTTGCCTAAGTCCTAGGGTTCGAAAGCAGCCTAGGCAACTTGGCGAGACCTCGTCTCTACAGTAAATCAAAAGATTAGCCGGGTATGGTGGCTCACGCTTATAGTTCCAACTACTTGGGGGGCTGAGGTGGAAGGATTGCCTGAGTTCAGAGGGCCAAGGCTGTGGTGGCTGTGACCATGCCACTACACTCCAGCCTGGGCATCAGACCTCTACTCAAAAACAAACAAACAAACAAACAAGAAACTGTAATAGTGATTGAATAAAACTTATCTCCCTCTTCCTCTGTTTTTCTTCTTTCTTTTTTTTTTTTTCTTCAACAAATCCCAGTGTAATCATTCTTTGAACTCTTCTGGACTTCAGTCTATCGACTGTTCTACTTTCTCTAAATCTATCCACTCTCTTCTTTCTCCATTTTGTTCTTTACATGGCTTAGGTTATGGCTTTTCTGAGCTTATATATTAGTTCTAGGAGATTTTGTAGCTTCATTGGGTTTACTACATAGACAATCATGTCATCTGCAAATAGGAGCAGTTTTATCTCTTTCATATCTAGTTTCTTTTTCTTACCTTATTACACTGGCTAGAACTTCCAGCCCTGTATAAAATAAGAGTTGATAAGACTAGACATCCTTGCAGGTTCCCATCTTAGGTTTTAAGTATGGTGTTAGCTGTAGGACTTTTTGTAGATTTTTAAAAAATCAAGATCAAGTAGTTTTCATCTATTTCTATTCATCTGAGTTTTTCTCACAAATAAGTGCTGGACTTTTCTTGGAAGTCATATTTCAAAAATTGGGATACATAATTCACCTACTAAACTTTCACTTTTTAATTTGTATACCTATTCCTGAATTGTACCCCATATCTTTAAAATAAGAAAAGAAAAAAAGAACAAAAAACTTTCACTTTTTAAATGTATATGATTTAGTGGTTTTTGTATGTTCACAAAGAGCAAACCTATCATCACTATTAAGTTATAAAATATTTTGTCACCCCCCGAAAAACCCATATCTATTAGCACTCACTCCCTATTCCCCTCTCCTTTCATTTTCTAGCATCCTGCCTTCTGTCTCTGTGGATCTGCCTATTCTGTACATTTTGTATACATGGAATCATACAATATCTGGCTTTTTGTGATCGGCTTCTTTGATAATATTTTCAAAGTTCATCCATGTGGTAGCGTGGAGCAGTACTTCATTCCTTTTTATGACTGAACAATATCCCATTGTATGGATAGCTCTCATTTTCTTTATCCATCCATTGACGGACATTTGGGATTGTCCTACTTTTTGACTGTTGTGATGAATACTTCTGTGAACATTTGTGTAAAAGATTCCTTGTGTATGTATGCTTTCT